TTTCAAAATTAAATGTTAGCACATGCATGAACTTCAGTGTGGTTACTTCATTTAATTTTGTGGGCTTGAGGCTGTTTAAAAATGCGAACAAAAGATATTTTTAGTTCTTTGAGTGACTCTGCTAACCTATCTTACCTCTGATAGACAATCATTTTTACTACACTTGGAAAAAATATAATCTAAAACTCACTTCTGTTGAGTTAAAATATGAAAAAGTAAAGAAGAATATAGGAGATAGAAACAAATAACTTATAAAATCATTGGAGCGATACATGCAAATGCAAGAAATTTCAGATCTAACCAAAAGGTAAGCAAAAAGGGAAGTAAGCAAAGACTTTTAAAAAAATTTGCTTTAAATGTAATGAAAAATGAAAACAATAGACAGCAGGACACTATGGTCATAGATAAACAGATAAAAACTTTATAAGGTCAAATGTAAAATAAAAAAGGAGACAGACCAGCTAGGTAAGTGAGAAAGAAATGACTGATAGAGGAAGACAGTTAAAAAGAAAAGTAGTTAGGGGTAGACTGAGTTCTGTTTCGGATTGTGAAAGTTTATTCTTTATGAAGCACTGAAGAAAAAAAATGTTCATGGCTTTATTGAAGCCCTCTTTAAAGCAAATCCTCATAGGAGGAAATGTAAAGTTATTGGGGAACCAGCTTTTACCTCATATTAAACAAGGCTCATGAACAAAAAAAAGTAATCTTTAATTTCTTTATCTGTATAGATGTTAAGTGATTACAATACTTGAAATCTTACTGCACTTTTTTCCATATTGGCTTGCTCTTAGGTAATCTATTTCTTGTGGAAAAAAAATTGCATCAGTAGCTTCACAGTATTAGAAGCATTTAACTGACTGCAAGACTTTTATTTACTGGGTAATTTTTCTTTAGTTTTGTGTGTCTGGAGGAAGACATCTGAGAGTACTAGGGCAACTCACATGACTAGTATAAATCCCTTTTTCCTGCAACCTGCTTTTAAGTTCTCTGCTTCAGCTTTGAGACGCTGAAGAATACTTTTTACAAAGATGGCACTGTTCATTTTTTTATCATGTGTATTCCAGACCAATAAGCTATTCTTCAGAAGCATTTAATTTCAATATCCCAAAAATATAATAATTCTTTCTTAGAAGGCCATAAATCCTGCAGATTCTGCATCATCTGAGAGTCAATGAATCTCACACACAGCTTGCATTCTGATGCTTGGGATTCAATCCTTCATACTCTTTGAATACCAGGTAAGGTATATGAGGGAGGTCCTTTTCTCCAAACTATGTTGTTCACATAGCCCTAATGTTTAGACTATACCTACTTTAACCAGGGAGAAAAAAAATGTTGCGTGCAATTACTACTTTGTTGTTCAACATGAAATTTCACTGAAGAGATCCAAAACTTTTAAGACTCCCCTACTTGAGATGAGAATTTATGTAATTTGACTCTATACCTGATCCTGATAGCTTACTTTTGTGTGTTTGCGTCCTGGGGTGACTTTATGTTGCTGAATTGTATCCCCATTCATCAGTTTAGTCCAGAAATAAGTTTTGCACCTTTAAGACTGGTTCTGAGATCAAAGAGGGGGAGAGAAGAAGCGCACAGTTTGTTTTCAGAAACTGTACTCACTCCACATTCCTTCTCCTGGACTGCGTTGTCTGCAGATGGACAGACAGCGGGACAGGGCTCTCCTTTGCTTTTAGTTAGTTTTTAGCTAACTGAGGCAGAGAAGTTCCCTGAACTGTGGTTTTTCTTTTTCTTGGAACTGTTTAAACCTGCTCTGTAAGGAACACCCAGAAGAGCACCGGCAGCTCACACCTGTGGCCCACCAGTCTGGGCCTGGGCCATGGCATTTCCAGTGCCAGAGGGACTGATAATAGACTGGATGAGTCAAGCTGCAACCCATGAAAAGGACTTTCTGAGTTTGCCATCTCTTCAGATTGGCAAGAGGTTTTATTGTTTAATATTGGTCATTTTTTGTGCTGGTGAATGATTTGCCTGTTAAATGTACAGATTTTTTCCACTTTTTTCCAAGGAAATCTTTTCCCAAACCAGTTGGGGGAGGGGCCACTTGAATCTGCTTTCTAGAGGAACCCCTTTGGAGGTTTTCTCTGAAATTTACCCTAAACCAGGACAGTTTGTTACAGTAGATTACTTCTATGGGGGTGGGGGTATGGAGCTATTAACAAAGTAAACTTGGCGTTGAAGACAATTTCAGTAAGATTTTGGATTTTAAAACCATTTTCCCATATCTGCTTTTTTTAAATTTTTAAACATTTCCTATAGGGAAATAGGCTTAAATAAAAAAAACAACTTCAATGGAAACAACTTACAGCAAAATTCTTGGTCTACTTTAAGGCATCATTTTATGTTTTCAGTCCCTATAGTTTCTTGCAACCTGCTTTATCTTACATTAGGTATCTTGTTATAAATATTTAAGAAGTCTCATGGGAAATTATGTAAATGGATTCAAAAAATATTTTCTGCCTGATAACCACTGCTGAATGACATCTTCCTGACAGTGTAAGAAGAGGCAACTGTCTTCTGGAAATTACACTGAAAGGCAACAATAATGGGTAAAAGTGGTAGTAGTTCTTTAGCACAGTAGTAAATTTATTTAGTAAAAGTTCTGTAACAACAGGAGAGGAAAAATAAAAAGCCTTCCTTCAGCAATATTAGACATGAAGAAAGACAGAAAAGGAGAAACGGGGGACTACATTACCTGGAACAATGACTTCTAAGCCATTATGGACAACATTGGGAATGTCAGAAGATAAAAAATTTGAAGTTAATGTTTTAATTCAGAATTTGAAAGGATTGACAGGAACATAAATATACAGGTCAGATTTCTAAAAAGACAATTTGAAAAATTATTTTAAAATATATATAAGATTGTTTTAAATTGAATTTGAATGTCAGTGGCTGCACATGAGTTATTAATGCACATTCACAAAAACTTTGCAGACAGGCAATTTTGAGAATTGCTCAAGTCCATTTCTGTAAAAAAAACAGGACAAAAAAAACCCCACCTAAGGCTTTTCTGTATTTTATAAATGGCTTCTCCAAAATTCAAGATGCATATAAAAAATTCAAAATTTGTGGTTAAAAAAAAAAATGGAAACACAGTAATAGTTTACTCAAATGGAAACTAAATACGTAGTCCATAAGCCACCATTTCCTATGTCACATCCCTAAGAGATAACCCTCACCTATTATCTTAAAGCTCAGTAGAGCTCATATTCTGAAACTGACAAGACAAAAAAGTATGAATATATGAAGTATGATACAATGCCTTACCATCAGTTTTGACACATTACAGTGTAAACAGTAATGTTTACATTTCTCAGTTGACTTTCATTATTCTGAAAATAAATAGTTCAAAGATCCTAGATTATTATAAGACAATGAATATATAGGACAATATATAGGACAATGAATTTCAGACTCTACCTCTTTGATTATATCACTTACTATGAAGCCAACACAACACTGGAAGAATTAAATTCCTTAACTTACAACATGCCTCTTCCTACACTAATATTAAAATAATCCAGCCTGTATGTCATTTTTTTACACTGCACAAAGATCACAAATGTCTACCTAATTGGACTTTTTGAATTTGATAAGTGTCACTTCACTCTCTTTTCTTTAGGCTTATCAATACAAACATTAGCTTGAGCTGTAGTTTTCTAAGCTACTGTACAAGACAAGTATTGTGCTAAAAATATGCAGTTACTCGAACTGTGAGATATTCTCTAGAAACCAATTTTTTTATATGAGATTCAAATTAATAGGAAATGCCCTTCCTGTGTTTTTTTTAGGTTGCAGGTCTAATGAATTTACCTTCTCAATGGAGAATAAAAGGAGGAAGGTGGAGAAATGTGTTTGCATTTTTCATTACCTTGAATTAAAAAATCCCCAAGTTTTTAAAGGAATTGCATCTAGAACCTGGCAACTTTGGCAAGTTGTACTTTAATCCACACCTAGAACTGATGGAAATGCTTGTGAAGGAGGTGAGTGTAAAGATAGACTCACTTTAAGTCAAGGTATTTTTATAGAGAGAAATGAACAGCTCTAATTAGAAAGCTCTGGCCACACATATACAGCTATGACACATCTAATTCACTACAACTATACAAAAACAGCCTATATAAACTGAACACTCAATTTGAACAATACAAAACACTTTGCAGTATAATACAAGAAAACAATTTACTGAGTTATGATTAGGACTTCCATATACTGCAGCAAAATGGCGGTCAATACCAATTCTGAAAAAAAAGTGCGCTGCACAATCAACTAAGTCTTCAAGTCAGCTTGTTAGGAAATTCAGTGCTTTATGTAAAGTGAAAACAGGGAGCTGAAATACATATGAAAATTTCAATTTTAATACTAGTTATACCAGTTATACATTTGATTTTAAATGGAAAATTTCTGAATGGAACAAAAATTAAAAGAAGTCAGGTTAATCAAAGATAAACCTTACAAAATATTTTAAATGCATTTTCTTTCAAAGTTTCAATGATGTCATCACTTTCAAAATAATTTTCTTATTTTAAGGCCTTGTATCAAAAGATTTATTTCATAATATACTCACACACAAGCAGATATTCCCACCTATTTTTCTGATTTTTTTTTTTCCCCCCCACATAATATTAATGGAAAACCTTAGGTAGTTCTCTTACCAACCAGAAAAATTACTTAACTGCTCTGGCCAGAACATGAGCTGGGAGGAAATTAAAAAAGATAATTAAAGTCACAGGCAAACAGCAGCCTGCCCTCTACCCTCTTGCTGTGACAAACCCCCCAAACATCTTGATAAGAACAGCACCTGTGTTGTCAGAGCAGTGCAAAGGGCAGAGAAGAAGAGGCAGGACTGGAAGAAGCCCTTTTCTTCTAAACTTTCGGTAGAATATAATTTGTTATTTATCATTTTTAGAGACATTCAGTATATTTCCTAAAGATAAAAGAGGAAAAATTTCAGCTATGGAAATAAACAAAAATCTCACCTTATTATGGTCATACTTGTATGGGATTTTGAGGGTATCCATTGCTCTGATCATGGTCTGCATTGCTGTAAATATATTCTGGTACACCAATTTCGTAAAGCCCCTTTTATCTTCATCAGAGTAACCTGATCCATGAATGATTCTCATCTGTTTGATGAACGTGCTTTTGCCACTCTCTCCTGTGCCTGAAAGACCAATAAGAATATACTTCAGCCAGTGGACACAAACATGACTTTTCTGCACAAAGTGGACAGCTTGTCAAGTTCAGGGCAAAACACTGTCAAGTCGTTATGGTGCTTGCAAGCTGCTTGCTTCAATATCAAGACAGCAGTAACACAGTAACTGCTGAAGCAACATTGAATCAAAAATTTTATTTTGAAGACAAAATACAAGCAGAAAAAAAATAGCAATGAGTTAATAACTAAAACAAAACTTCTCAAAAAATCTAGAATACACAACTGAGAATTTAAAATTATAAGCATAAAATTCCAATCCCAAATATATAGTTCACAACTATAGGGAATTGCTATTAGATATTCTATTACAAAAAAATCATAGAGTAAGAACAAAAATTAGCTTGTGTGGCTGACTTTCAGAACATTATGGTAAGCAGCAATATACAACCAATACATAATTGTTAGAAAGCCAAATAATATAACAATTATAGTTGTGCAAACTTCAACCTCAAAAATATATAAAATTAGCTTTAAGCAAAATTTGTATTTGTTAATGGACAGTCCTTTAAATTTCCTTTGTGTCTTTGTTCTTTACACAAAGCATAAATAACTAATAAATTAATATTCTGCATGTTTACCAATTTAAAGTTAAAATTTGCTTGTTTGGTATTTTGCACAAAATATATCACGCAGCATTTCTTCCTTTGGCAAAATTCAGTCTCTCTGTGATTAGCTGAGCTTATCTAAGCAAACAAATCATATGAATACTTTATAAGAAGGAATTGAAATTTTAAACAGTTGCACAGCCATATGAATGCTGTATGTACACCTAGATATTTAGCTCCCTAAGAAATGCAACGCATTTAAATGCATGCAATACTTAGTCTTTCAGCCTATATTCTATTTTGATAATTTTTATAAAGCTTTCAGGCCTCATTTATGATATAATACTTGACTACCAGGACAAAGAAAGCCTTATGCTTTATATGATGTTTTAGGTATCTCAGAGTAGTGTATTTCACAAGCAGCGCAATGTTGCAGTACAAGCTGATTCATACTGAACATTAATCTGTTTATAAATAAGAAATCCAGCCCAGTTCCATAAACCAGCCTCTGGGCTGACTGACAGAGGTTTCAACCAATAACAACTCTCCTAAAGTACAAGCATTTGACTGGTTCAGAGTCTAGGAGGCATGGAGATTAGACCAATTATTGTTTAGAGCCAGGAGTTTTTGAATTGCCTATAAAAGCAAGCCCCGAACAATAAAACACACTGTTTGGCTGATGAGCAATGGAGGTCTGTCGTATGTTACATCTCAGATGTACAAACATCATGTGACAGTGCAATGCAAGGTTAAAGCATGATTCTGTGCTTGCAACTCAAGTATTTCAGGTAGTACACCTCAAAATCTAACCTCAAAGTCTCTACAAGATTTTCTCTTTACTGTGTGACTGTTCATTAAACTCCCGCTTAAATTTTTGTCTATCACAGCTCATGCTAAGGAATTATGTATGCTAGGAGCAGAGCCATTAAGTCAAAGCCAAGCACTAAGTAGGCAGGACAGGTGGCCAAAAATAGCTAAAGGGCCATTATACAACCATTATCACCTGCAAATTGTTGTTTCCAGGAGCTGTTATCTCTTGCTTGGCAGTCTGGTCAGAATCCGCTAAATTATGGAAATGGTATAGACCAAATCGCCAAGATGGAGAGTATAGAACACCAGCTTACCTAAAAAGCTTTTGAAGTATATCCAGCAGCAGTTGGACTGCTGAGGCTTTCATGCTTCCTGGTGTGATACAGGAGATGCCTGCACCATGATGGAAGAGGAAGGATGAGCACTCTCACTGTTGGCTAGGCAACTAATTTTCTTTTCCTCATAGATGTGTTATCAGATGATAAATGGCCTACACCTGGTGAGCTAACACAATGCTTATTCTCCAAAACTACTGGCTTATGGAAACTGCACAATGTCCACTGTGTATGAAGGAGAACTGGAAGTTCGCCAGCCTCAGTGTCCTGCCAACCCAGCCAGGTCACCTGGAACACTGAGGTCTATGACCACCAGAGACCAGCAGAGAGACCCCAAGGACAGAAGAATGCATGAGTAAAGGGGAGGGGAAATATGTTAATGATTTCAGGGAAATTATTATCACATGTTTGTTTAGTCTGGGACAATCAATGAATATGTATGCAAAATACAGTGTCTAAACAGAAACTTTCCTGTACCCAGCATGCACGGGTTTGGGAGGAGCTATCCCCCAGTGTATCCGGCCAAATAAAGAATGCTTGCTTCTTAATGCTACATTGGTGTTAAGGGGTTTCTTATTTTACCAAATTTTTGGTAATGGTTTTGGCGACCCAGATGAGACAGACTCCTAATTTTCAATGGATCTGAGGGATCACAGGACTTCCAGCAAGCACTGAGGGATTCTCAGGGAGAACCTTCGATCCCTGGTCTGAAAGAAATCGTAGCAAGACCCCTGGTAAAATAAAGGCATTCTTTACTTTACTCTAAAGGTGTTAACTGTTAACCTACCTATAAGGCACAGCAAAAGCTACACAGGGTTTGGTTTAAAGGTACCTAAGGTGAGAAAAGGAAAGGGTTAGTGTCCCTTCAGAAGGAAAGTGTTAGAGTCCCTTCTAAGGAGCTCCTAAACAGTAATTTGTTATAATGGGAAACAAAACCTCAAAAGGGGTATCACAGGTGTCACCGCTGGGATGCATCTTGAAACACTGGAAACAAATTTGGGGTATGCCCCTCATATGTGAAAAACTTACAATTCTGTAATCAGTGGTAGCCACTTTCCATGCTGGAAGATCAAAAGAAGTGGACTACAGATGGAACCTTACAGTATAATACCCTGTTGCAATTAATGTTGTTTTGTAGAAGGGAAAATAAGTGGAATAAAGTTCCTTATGTTGACTTGTTTTTCACCCTAAGAAATCATCTAGAGTGGCAAAAGGAATGTGGCAGGACCCTGCAAGATCCATTAATTTTTGCAGTTGAAAAGGAAGAGAAAGGCAAAGGGTTGAAAAGGTGGTGTTCTGCATGCAGCCTAGGGCAGAAGTGCTTAAAGCGTGGAAGAGAGGACAAGGATGATTTAGAGATGATGGCTGCTCTACGGCAAAGAATATGTGGGGTGAATGCTGAATCGGCAGGGAACAGGTGCGGTGAAGGATGAATCGGCAGGGAACACAGCTAGATGCATAAGTATGTCATGGGACAGTGGACTGGAACTGAGACAACGCTTTAGGGGATCAGAGGATTTTAGCCTGATTGCAAGACGCACTAGAAGGCAGCAAGGAGATGATGGGGGGAATGCTGGGGATATTCTGATGGCTTCCCTCTGGCAGGTGGTTGGGAATCATGGTCCAGTAAAAGTAAAGACCCCATTTCAATTGTGGCTTTAATGTAACGGAAAAAGGGAGCAGGAATTTATAGAGAGGATCCAGATAGAGTTGCTAAAGTATTTGAAACCATAATTAGGACTCAGGATCCTGACTGGAATGATATACAAATGATGTTAGATATGCTGTTGGATAGCACAGAAAAAAAGATGGTTTTGACCATGGCCAGAAAACAGGTGGAGGGGGCACATGCTAATGGAGACTTAGAAGGAACAGTAGATGAGATTTTTCCTTCAACAGATCCAAGCTGGAATCCTAATTTATTGGGACTCCAAGATCGTTTAACAAGACATCAGAGATACATATTGTTTGATGTAAAGCATGCTATACTAAAAGCCATGAACTGGTCAAAACTGTATTAGGTAAAGCAGGACAGTACTGAATCCCCCATGACTTTCATGGAACTATTGAAGGTGACTGCCAGAAAATATACTAATCTGTATCCTGAGAATCCAGAGGAGGCTGTACAGTTAGCAACTACCTTTATAGGGCAGTCTACCCCAGATATTGGAAAGAAACTCCAAAAACTAGAAGGAGCACAGTCACATGACTTAGGAAAGTTGTTAGAAGTGTGGAAAGTATATCACAACAGGGATAGGGGAAAAGAACTATGGCAGGCTAGAAGGGAAAACAGGAGACATGACAAACTGCTTGTGACTTTCGGGGTGGCTAAGGGACCTGTGGAGGGTACTAAGGGACCAGCCAACAGGGGAGGTCGGGTGGGGGGAACAAGGGGAAGGGGAGGCAGGAGGCTCCCACCGTTTCCCCGACAACAGTTAGGGGAAGACCAGTTGTCCTAGGGTGACTGTTATGGTGTTTGTATCTCCAATCGTGTGTTCTGTTTACGTTTGATATTATGTTCTGTGCTTTCAGAACTGACTCTGAAAGTGAAGGTTTGTTTTGCTGCGTTATCATCTGGTTCACCTTCCCCCATGTCTGCTGGAAAGCTAGAAAAGGCTAGGGCTGGCTGGCTGGCTTTGCTTTGCTTGCTTGCTTGCTTGGCTTGCTTGCTTTGCCTGCTTTCTTGCTTTCTTGCTTTGCTTCCTAGTTAGGTTAAGCAGTCCAATTCTTTCCCTGGACTGTTGTTTTTTTTTCCCTTTCCTCTTTCTGAATATCATTCAACCTGCTCTGGACTGGGATCTGGGAAACACCAAAGAACACCAGGAGCCTGCATTTGGAGATCTGCAGCAGCCATCCCCAGCGTCCAGACCCGGGCGACCACTCCCAGGAAAGACCTTCTGGATTCGTTCAGCTCTTCAGAGGGGTGAAAGAGTCTTGTTGTCATCTTGTGTTAATTGTTTTGGTGTTGGGGAGTGCTTTGTTGTTGAATAAACAGGTTCTTTTCCACTTCCCTCTCAGAGGAAATTTTTCCCTGAACCAGGTGGGTGGGGAGGGGCCGTGGGGGTTTCCTGGGGGCTCCTTTCAGGGGGTTTTCCCAAAATTTGCCCTAAACTAGGACAAATATTTTGGCGCCCAACTCGGGGCTCGAGAGAGTGGAAAAAAACCCTGTTGTAATCATATTTTTGTTCCAATTATTTTGTCTGGGTATGGAGCAGTTACTGGTTATGTTGTTTGAATTAATATTGTCTCTTGGGGTGAA